TTTTTCGGGGGGGGGGGGGGTCTCCAACCAGTAGAAAACAACATTTTGCCACAACTAGAAGATAAGAACACAGAAGAGGTTCATGAAACATCTGATTTAGTTTCCAATCATTTACCAAGTTAACTAATTTCAGCAGACAACTCCTAAACTGTACAAGATTAGCTTCATTTTTCTTAGCTTCTAAAAATCTGAAATCAGTTTGCTGCCAATTCAACATGCCTACAATTTTACAGGACAACCCCTTAATTTGTGGTGCCAGCATATTTGATGGTTGATTCTAATGAAAGCTCAAGGAACCGAATTCCAAATAATCAACCCCTCACCAAAATTGATTAAGATACAGCGTAACCACACATTCTCAGCTAATACACCAGGTTCTTTACCAGAAAGCTCAAAGAGCATACTTCACGAATAAAGTTAACCTTTTATCCCATGATCACATCTTCAAGTTGGTTCTTATGTGAGACAGACCTCAACAACTTATCAATCCAGGCAAAAATAAGGACTAAAAGATATTCATGAAACAAACACATAAGTCTCATCTCATACTTTAACATAAACAGAAACATCCAACCAGATGTTCAATAATATCTTGTCTTATACATATTACTTACAGATAAGAGGCATAACTCTTCAGCAAACACATAGTGGTTAAACCAAAGTCTAGAACTGCAGTCACTCTGAAGCTGTAGAACATAACGGAATGCAAACTAACTAGGCGTGTCAATTCAAATCATAAAAATCTGGCAGCTTAGAAGAATCCTATCTTACAGCATTTCAAATTAGGTGCCAACACTGTCTTATTCCCATAATCCCATTCACAAGGGGAATGGTTCACACAGCAGCCACATAATGAACCCTTCCAAAATGGCAAAATCTAATTCCAAAGCTCAGTTTTCTCACTCACAATCAAGCATCCTTTCAAAGAGTCATACCAATTGACATGAGAAAGGAACACAAAGAAAATGCGAAAAGCCCCCGAATTTACCCAAATTAATATACCAGGAAAAAGGGTTTCACTTTTCAATTTGTTAGGCAGCTATAAGAAGCATATAATGAAGCATAGGAAGAATAACATATTCCCAGCTAAAGGAAGAACCATTCAACTATAACTAATTGCATATGATACAATAGCAAGAAAGCAGTTATCACCTGCCAGTCTGCTTGAGCATGTCAAGCATATTGGTCTGGAAAACATGATCAACAGCTTCAACACTCACTCCAGTACCACTCTGCGGCATTGCAAACACATCCACAACGCGCACCGTATACTCATCCACAAATTCCCCTAACATCAATCCCATCACTTCCATAGGAACTCCAGCCCTCCCTGCATATCATTAACATAAAAAAATTAAAAAAAAA